CCATGCTGTTGATAAATAATTATCTTCAATTAAATAATATTCATATGGAATATGTGATTTTGTTGATGAAAGTTCATGAAATAATTTAAGACGTTCAGGTTTTATATGAAATTGTATAGATGATAAAGAATCATTATCAGAATTATTTATAAGAAGATTACGAAGTTCATTAGCTATTAAATATAGTTGTTCAGTTTTATTTGACATATATTCTTCGTAAAATGATGATAATGTAAATGGATAATAATATTCAAGTAAAGTTAGACAATCATTTGGTATACGATTTGATGGTAAAAGTAAAGAATGAATATCTTTGATAGACAGAAGAAAAAAAAATATATAGTATATTAATGAAAAACAAAGAAAAGATATTTAGTTTTGTTGAAGATTTTATTCGATCAATTTATGAATGATATTAAATATATCAAAGATAAGTTTTTCACATTGTAGACTTAGAAAAATTTATTTTACACAGTTTTTCTCACAAGTTTTGACTATTTCTTTCAGAGAGTAATTTTCGAGACAAAGCTTTCTCATCGATATCATCCACAATTCTATATTCATACGAAATTCTCGAAGGAATTTAGAAGTTTTTTTTTTCAAAATGTTTCATTTCTTTCTTGACTGAGACATTGTCTCACTTTTTATATTGCATGAAGATGAGCGCTAGTTCGAACCTGAAGAACTGTTTGAAAATATCCTCTGATCACATATAATCTATTCGATCAGTTAGTTCCTATAGTTGAGCTATCCGAACAACTTTGGCTTCGTTTTTGAGAAAGGTCCTTTTAGTTACAAAAAAATTTATTGTATGCTTTGGAGATAACATTTATGAGGAGATATACAGTCCGTCGAATTCAAACTTTTTCTGGCTCGGTCAAACTATATTTTGATACTCTCAATGATATTTTCTAATGGAAAGTGAATAGTTGCCCAGAAGATACGACATACTTTTTTCCCGTTTTTTGTTTGCGGTAGCTAGTGCTCCCTACAAATTTTTCAGACACTTAGATCACGCTGGATCTAAAGTTTTTAGACCCATACTCGACCGAGTTCGTGTTCGGGATCAATTCGATGCGTCCTAATCCTATATATATGTGCTCTGCTACTGAAATGCCGCTTCCAAAAACAGAACACAATTTTTCAGACAGATTAGTTCTTATCAGAAGAATTGTTTGAACAGATCTTGTGATCTGAACTTTGAATGTCGGAGCTGGCCGATTCCTAATATTGAACGCATTTGATACAGAAGAATGATTTAATATCAATCGATTCCATGATTGTTGAGAATTAATGCATGACTCACTTTTTTTTTTTTTGTTCATTAAAATTAATAAATGGTTTCATAATCTATCTTATTGACTTATGATAGAACAAGAGTAAGATGAAAATAAAAATACGATAAGAAAAAAAAAAGATTTATCTTACTGATTTGTTCTTTTGAATGTTCTTGTAAAGTTCGTTTCCAAAGACTTTTTAAACTAATTTGTATTCCTTCATGAAAAACACTAACAAATGGTAATAATTTAGGTCCATATTTATAAACCATTAAATTACAATAATGTGCAAAATGATCAGCAAATAAAAATCGAAATATTGAATCAAGTTGAAAAAAATCTACTAATCGTATTTCAACAGTTACAATTGGTGATGAAATTTCTTTTATTTGTTTTTTCGTATAATGAATAAATGTATTCCAATATGGAATTATTTCAAATTGATTATGACGAACTATTGTTGAATACAAACATGTATATGATGCATCGCCTGGCCATGAATGAAGAATTAAATGAATTATTGATGATGATATATAATCAAGCCATGTTTCTAATTTTGTATTATTTAATGATCGAAAACGAATATAATAATTAAGAAATAATTGACATTGATATAATATTGTACTACGAAATATTGGTACATTTAATAAATATTGTTCAAGATCATGAATAAAATTTAAAAATAAATCATATATTTCTGTATTATTTAATGATTGAATCATATTTTTATCTAACATAAAATGAATTAAATCTCGTAAATCGTTTGGACGTCTTATAGATGAATAAATAATTGGTAAAGATTCTTTATTTGATATTAAACGATGTAAATCATCATTTATGGAAAAGTTTGAAGATGTTAGTGTTGATGTTAACAATTCATTATATTCTTTTAATGTATTTGCTAAAGAACCAACACGAGTTGATTGATAACATAAATCAATATGATTTTTTCGTACATAATGTTCAAATATACTAGCTTGTTCTATTTGATGTATTAAAAGAAATTTTTGTTGATCTTGAATTTTTCGTTGAATATGAATTATAATTTGTGTACCAAGATTTATTGTATTTATATTCCATATACGCATTAATGGATGTTCAATCATTTGTTCAAAAAGAAAATGTAAATGATCAGTTGTTGAAATAATTTCATAATTATTTGTAAACCAAAAACGATCATATGCTAATCGTTGTAATTCTTCAATAAGAACTGATTCAGATGTATGAGTGCATTGATGATAATAAAGTAACATATTAGATATTGATTGAGATAAATCATTCGGATTTAAAGTTAATTCACGTTTAACTAGTTTATGATCTTCAGTATTATATGGATCGTGTAAAGAATAGAACTGTTCAAGTCTACAAGAGAAAAATAAACATTTCAATTTGTCAGCGATTTGAACTGGTAGAATTTATAATAAATCTCATAAGAATCAATAGGATATTTAAAAATAAAATATTTACAAAAAATATGGTACAATGTTTTAAGATTATAAAAGTAGTTAATAGGAAGCTTTTTCTCCAGGTGGAATTAAACTATGAATCTTTTTTTTTCAGAAGATTAACGATAATGTTTGAACACACCATAATGAGAACTTTCATGTAAAAAGGATTACACAGTATTTTAAAGCAATAAACATGCATATATAGTAATATTTTATTGAAATGTTGTTGTTGTTTTTTCCGAACTTTATTAGATCTTCAGTCTATCTGTTACGAAATAAATGAGCAACAGATAGAAGATTTTTAACAAAGAAATGAACTTTACTCTATATGTTCATGTTAAATAAATTTTTATTAGAAACATTTCGAGATAGATCAACTAATACAGAGTATACATATGAATGTCTTCAGAGAGATGACCTTCTTTCAATCATTGGAAAATTATTATTTTTCTCGGTAAAAATGAATATATATTTAAATTAAAAAGAAATGATTTCTAGATAAAAATTCAATCATTGATTTTATATGAATTCCTTTGTTGAACAATGACTACAATTAGGCAAGGACGAATTTTGGCGAAAAAGAAAGTTCATAATTTACTCTATCTGATTTTAATACAAATGACAGAGAGTGTATGAACACTATTTGAAAAAAAAACTTAGCAATCATGATTAATCATTCATCCCACGCGCTAATTCAGTAGCGCTGATGTCGAGTCAAGCTCGGGAATAGTTTATATGCAGATGCTAATTATGACACTGATGTAATTAAATTTAGACAGTCATTTCATTGTGGGCATATAGAATGAGCCATAAATAACCTATTTGTCTTCAATGGCATATAAATTGAGTTTATTTTTAATTTCTTTTTTTTTTCGTGTATCTCTCAGCTGTATTGCTGTTTTATCTCTCTGTACAAATCTGGAAATCTACTTATCATGAATTATGTTTTGAAAAATAAGACATTACGGGAGATTATATATGATTAGACACTTGCAAAGAAGACTATTTTCCGATTGAAATCGGAATACTCATTTTGAGAATCGTATCGAATTCTTTAGTCTTCACTTTATTTTCATAGTATGAAACCATTTGTTCTGATTCCAATTCGAGATCAGCTATGCCTGTTCTTAAAGTCTCACATAGAAAAAAGGTTATAACAAAAGCTGTGAGTTCCTATCTTTTATTTATAAGATATTGTTTAAAAACAGCTGTGGAATGTGGGTCTCACTTCTAATCTTCGCTCATTCTCTATTCACACTGACATCCACATTCATCACATTCTCACCGACACCTACGCCCATGCATGTCCTACATCCACAATGGAGTTATACAAGAGGCGTTTACGTAAACTTTTTCCGAGCACTTTTTGGACACTGCAGATAGTTTTTATGAATAAATCAAAAATAATCGGACAGGAAGTTAAGAGTTAAGTAATATTTCTAAATAATCAACTTGTTTCACTGCACATCTTAAGAAAAGATTACAGGTGTAGAGTTTCCTTTAATAAATAAATACATTTGAACTTACTCATTTTTTTCTGATGTTACTCCATCAAAATTATCAATATCTACATCGTAGGTTAATACTTGAGTTTTATTTTTCTCAATTTTCATTTGATAATTATAAGCTTCAATTTCACTGAAATTATTTAATTTTTCTGCAAAGTTGTCTCGAATATATTTTGATTTTTCAGTTAACCAACTTCGTTTAAATTCAAGTGATGATAACGGATGATTTGATAACCATTTTCGACAAACAAAACCATAAAAATCATTACAAATATCACTACTAAAATCTAATTGATTAATCCATAATGAATTAAAATTTTTAAATAAATTATGTTTATTATTTGTTGCATTTCGTTCAGATAATTTAGAAAAAAACCGATGTGACAAAAAATCATGTTGAGGCATATGTGTTGCATGAGTAATAAATAAAATAGTTAAAATAAATCCAATAGTCAATGCAATAAAACTACCAAGTAAAAGACAAAGAAATTTAAAACGTACACTTGGTTTTTCTGATATTATTGGAAATGGTAATGAACTTGTTGATGGAGAAGTTAATAGACTAGTAGATGTTGCTGCTTGTGGTGGCATTGAAGTTGTTTCATCAAAATGAACTATTTTACGTAATGGACTGCTACTAAATATTGTATCCGGAACGTCTTGATTTTCATTCATTTTATCTAAAAAGTTACACAATAACTTAATCTACAATTGATACAAAAAAAAAAAAGAAAAGATTTTGTTTAATGGGAATCCCACGCCTTTTTGAAGTTTCTAAAAAAATGATTTATCAAAAATATTTTGAAACTTTCAAGATAGATAGATCTCAATGAGTAAAGCAAAAGTTGTCATAGTCTCTAAATTCCAAGATACTTGCTTGTCGGATATATCTGGATCTCAAAGACTAAAAATTAGCTCATTTTCTCAGCCGTCATAAGTTCAATAGAGAGAGAATACTTTATACAGCTACTAGATACTTTTGGAGATGCCTACTTTTTTGGTTTCCTTTCAAATAAAAAGATAAAAATACTGAGTGTACTTTCAAAAATACATGTCTTATTTTTACTAGAACTTTTTTTTTTTTTTATAAAATCTATCAAAAATCAACACTCTAATATTATTCAATACATAAAAAGAATAGACATCCCAAACAGTGTTCAGTGTCTGTAAAAAAAGGTTTTAGAACGTACCATGTTGGAGACACAGAGGCTACTTTGCACCACTTTTCGTGTAAGAATTGGTTTTGAGAATTGCGAAAAAAAAATTCTCTTTTGTGCCAAGACTTTTTTCTCCAGCTACAGCATGGGGAACAAACTGATTTCTTGGATTTCTGATGATGTTTATCATTGGCAATAAGTTCTTATCTATTCATCGCAAATCAGTGGAAATCATCGGAAATGCTTAGATATGAAGGGAAATCACTTGAAATCATTGGAAATCAAGGACAACCATTAGAAACATTGGCAATTATATGAAAATCGAGAAAATCAATAAAAATTATTAGAAATCAGAGTTTTACTTTTAATCTTATTATTGCAGATTTCCTTTAACTTGGAGTGATTTCTCATGGTTTCCGATCATATCTAACTACTTGCAGTCATTATTCGTATTCCTAAGGCGTTAAATGATTCTAATGATTTCTAGCATAGAAATTACTTTGTTCCCTCCTAAACTAAAGTGATTGAAAATTGGCCACGTTCAGTGATGTCAGACATCGATGCCCAATGCTCTTAGAGGCTTCAGAATGAGAAGTGATCATTATCATTAGAAGAATTTTGCATACAAAAAATAATTGTAGTGCAAGTTTTTTACTAGAGACTTCGAGAGCTGGGCTTAATAAAAATAGTAACTAACAAAGAAGACTCCTCATTTATATGACATATTACAGAGGATACTTCGCAGCTATATTAGCGATACAAAATCAAAAATCAAAAATGATTGATTTTAGCATGCGAAAAGACGGAACGGGTTCCCTTTCGGTAACTAATTTGAACTGACATAGATTTTAATAGAGACATCAAGTCTTTTCAAAAAAAAAAAAAGCAAACAAACAAAGACTTGGAATCAAAGTTGACATAGGAATATAAAAACTAATCGAATCTCATTTTATATATATATATAATACTGTCTATCTATACATCGTGCTTTCTACTAGACCTTGAAATGTCAAGATGATACTACAGATATGTCCTTGGGTTTTTCTAGTACGACACTATACTAACATGTATATGCTTGTGGTCGCTCCCACAAGATTCAAGTCGCCGATTTCATTATTCTCGTCCAACGTTCTTTTCCTCTTTTTTTTTCTCTTAATCATTATATATCTACCCGAGAAAATTGAATTACATTCATTCTCGCATGCATACATACTCATTTTTCTATTTGACCAGACATCAACATTGTCCTCGTTCTCATCATCATCACCATCACATTGACGTTTTTCTTTTTTTATACTTTCTTAATACAAACGAAGGTCTTGAAATAACAATGGATGCAATTAATAGTTTCTTCTCTTGAGAACAAATATTTCTCTAACCTTTTTTCCTCTCTTTTCCAAACGGATTACGATGAACTGAAATATAACGGAAATTATTTTATTATTGATTTCTTTAAGATTTCTACATTCAAGAAAAAAACTATTGAAATAATCAATGATTTATTGTTTTCTTTTTTTCTCTTACCTTAATTTTGTATAGAATAATAATTACTTGAAAGATAATATGTATCTTAGATCTATGTTCATATTCATAATAAAAACGAAAATAAATAGAAATGTTCAATATTTTACTTTTTCTTTCTTGCCTACTTCTTTTTTTTTCTTTTTTCTTCTTCTTCTCTGTTCTAATTTCACAAAGAAGGACACAACAAAACCCATGATGAATGCGAAAAAAATATTAATTAGCTTGTTATATACTATAATATAAAGCACCTTAATTGATTTTCTCTTGCTTCAATATGTAGATTGATCTTTACTCTCTTCCATCGTTCATTGACGCCAATAATTGTCCCTTTGATTAACTCCAACTAATGTCGTATTGCATTAAACCAGTGATTGATTTTTTTGTTGTTATTTTCAGAAAAAATATCGTCATTATTCATTGAGAATTTCTATTCCACAAGGTCAGACAAATCTCATTTTTGTTTGTTTTTTTCGTTGAATCAATTGTTCAGGGATATTGTTGAAAAAAAAGGCGATTAATTAAAAATTTCAGTATGCTATATATATATATATATAGAAAAAGAACAACGAAAATCCATAAAATAAATGAAAATGTGTCAATGTTCGATATTATGTAAGATCACCATTGAATATCATTCTTATTAGGTTGTATGTGTCATACATATGTGCATGTGTATGCACCATCAATAATTGCCTAGATATCGAGAGACTAAATTCTATAAGAATGTCAAATGTGTAATCAAAGAAGACAGATCAATAGAAAAAGAGAGATGAAATGATGAAATGCAATGAAGAGGTTTACATGAGTAACAAAAAAGAACAAGAAAAAGGCACTTAAACTATTTTGTATACCTAAGAATGATAATGTAATTGTTATACTCTTGATTTGTTAAAGAATATAATAAAAAAATCAATAATTAATTTTTTTTGTTGTTGTTAATTGATAATGAACAATATTGTTAAAGTATTCAATGCTACTTAACTTATTATCAAGGGCTTTCACTTTTAAATATCTACTTGTATTCGAATCAATGAAGCAGAATGCCTACAGTTATATAACGCGTATGCATTAGAAAAAAAAAAGACAGGGACAGAAAATTTGTTGAGTTTAATGTACTATGTAAGAAAAAAGCAAAACTTCCATTATAATTTTTTAAAAATAACCATTAATGATATAAGAAGACAAATGCCAAGAAATATTAATATAATTATATATAAACCATATTTTGATGTTATATGAGATATAGAAAAACCGAAACATGTATTATTTTCATTAATTATCTTATCAAAAAATTGTATATATTCATATGAATGATAATCAATATTTGAATTATGTTTAAATGTAATTCTTCTATTATGATCTATTGGTGATTTTAAATTTGAATATTGTATTGATTGATAATAATCATTTGATGGAATTGTTGGTAATTGATTAGATATTGTTGATTGTCCTCGAGCATGAGTTAATATTGAATTTTGTTTCTGTTGAATTAGATCATTATCAATAGATGAATTAGTTCGATTAATTTGATATATTGAATTATCTTTGATTATTTTTCTATTCGAATTTGTATCAGATATTTGTTGTTTATTAAAAATGAATGAAATTAATGAATGATGTTTTTTCTTTTTCTTATATTCATTAGATGAAACTATCCTATCAGTTGAAGTACTAATTGGAATAGTTTTAGATTTATTATTTTTGCACCATTTCGGCATTTTTCTATTTCTATGTTTAAGGTGGCATTATTAAAATAAACAAAGAAAAAAAAATGTGAATAAAATCTAAAAAGAAAGTGCAAAAAAAAACGAAATTGTTAAGCATTATTTTTCTGAATAATTCGAATTTTTATAAATATTTGTTTGACAATTAAAAAATAATTCATTGATAGATGCGAAGTTATAGAAACAATAAGTATCTTTTTGTTTTATTAAAAATAAAAATCAATGCTTTGTTTTCAATACACAATCATATCGTTAATCTTATCAGCTCACCATTAGCTTTTTTTTAATAAGAATAAGAAATTATATAATTTACGTAGGAGTTGAAAAGTAGCTTATAAATACTTAATTTTAATATCATTCAATCTTGTAGGTTAAAATTTTTTGAATTATAAAATATATGACTAATGTTGTATAATCTAAAAAAATAATTTTTTTTTTTTATGTCACAAACTTATTTGAAATATTAAATTATATTGAGGAAAAAATGGTTGACAAATGTTTTAAGATAAAAAATAGATTTTGTATTCAAAGTTCAATTATATTACTATTTATAAATAAAAATGCATTTAGTAAATTACATTCAAACCCTTAAATAACAAAACTTCTTTATTATCAAGAGTTTTTCAGATATTCTATCTTCCTATACATGTTTTAGTCGCACAAAGAGTTATTTTTTTGTTTGCATAAAAAGCGAGAGTCGTATCTATGGTGATGTTTGGCTAATTGTATTTTCCAGCAATATTATTATCACCTTTTATTGTGCTGTGATACGAAATCACATGCAATTTAAAATAATGACAAAGCAAGTCAGCTAATATTCTGTCAAGTTCATTTGTATCTGATGAAAACGACCCTAGTACGATAGTAGGAACTTTTCTGTTGAATATTACATAGAATAAAAAACAATTTTTCTGTTCAATTACTCTTTCATAAATCAAAATAATCCAAACAAGAAAGAACTTTTTATATTATTAATTGTTATTAATAGGAATTTTCCTTTTTATAGATCTTTATTATCTGTAGAGACAGATTTTCTATTATGAATCAATGACATATCTCTCTCTTAACTATATTTATGTTACTTTGACATGCTGCTAGTGATTATTTTATTGTCATTATTTAAACTATTCTATTGCCTTTTTGACATCATTTATTATTTTAAGAAACACTGATACAGAATGTCATTTTCACAGTGACAACATTTTATTAATATGTATCTTAAGATTTATTTTTAAAATGTGGGAGAAAAAGCAATGATATAAAGTCTATTTGATTTTTTTTTTAACTCCGTTTTATTGTGGAATTTGTGGTAGACGAATGTCGATGCCATTGTCTGTTAATGTAAAAATATAATCACTGATTTTATTTAACATTATATCTTCCATTTCTTTATCTAATGCATGAGTTACTTGATTAGCCTTTTTACCCAATGGACTGGAATAAAAACTAATAAGTTGAATAACATCATCCAATGTATAGTATTTCGCATATACTTCTGTAAGATCAGATATAAACGAATCAAAAGAAAATAAATCATTGTAAAGAGCTTTCATTTTGGTATCTTCCTGTGGATAGAGTTTCATATAGGATAAAAATCGTACATATTCATTTTCAATTCCAAGAATGTTTAGTAAGTATTTAATGTTATCTTTCAAATTGTTCGATGATGGACTAGCTGGTTTTCCTTGAATAGTACCAATGGCGAATAGTAAAACAATGATTAATGTTGGTAAACGAATGGAATCCATAGTCAAACTAAAAAAACAGAAGAATAAGTTTTATCGTTGAATAAAGGTAATCGAATGGATGAACAAGGCTTATGATAATGTATCTCTTCTACAATACTGAATAGAATACTTGTATATATATGTGCGGAGTTATGAACATCTAATGGCTCTATTTCATTAGTGCATCATATCACATACTTAGTAGGTGGAATATATGAACAAGAATAGAATAGATATCAAGTTATAATAGAAATTTAACACCAACTGCTAATGGAATAATGATACATAGTGAAAAAAGCAACGAGCTTTATATAATTTGAGTTTTTCTCTTGTTTTTTCTTCTTTTCTTCTTGTTCTTTGAAAAAAAGAAATCTAGTATTCTTCGTTTACGTTATTCATTAGTCTCCTTCGCATTCAATTCTCTATTTTTTTCTCTTTTAAATATTGACATAAATCTTAATAAGTCAAATGATATAGGATGAGTGAAACTCTTACTCATACACAAAGAGAAGAATATTGCCTCTTTGAACTTATACTTCAATATATTCCACTATATGTAAATATATTGTATAGCCTTAAATTATTGAAATAGTTTCAATATAAGTTGTAAACAAAAAGAAAAAAAAATAAGAAAATCATTCGTAATTATGAAAAAAATATTTTTTTATCTTCGTTAAATTTTTGGATTGATTCACATCTGTGTCAAATAATATTTTCTTCCTTGTAAAAAGTTCAGCAAGCTCTTTGAAAATCATAACAGAAGAAATAACGGAAATGCGTCGACAATATTCGACAATGCTTAACTATACATAATTACATATTTTGTTGAAGTTTTCATCAACATATCTATTTATGTCAAACTGTAAATGACAATTGATTGTACTGAAAAACATTCAAGCAAATATAAAACCGGAGGCATGTAGGCGTTTTCTTATATCATATCGTTATCATTTCAGTAGATTATTAATCATTCTATGTTATTCAAGTTCAGTCGTTTTCTATTCTTTAAAAAAGAGACATTCAATACTCATGAAAAATTCAATTGTTTAAAAAATATGAGTGTGACCAACTTATTGACTAAAGTAAAGATAAATATCATTCATTTTTGCCTCTTTACGATCTTGAAGTATTGTACATAACTGAATAGATACATTTGTTATTGATGAATGGCATCATTAGAAAATATATTGTTAATTTATTAATCAAATTCTAACCTATGAATACATGTCTTACATTATAACTGTAATAACGGACTTGATGCGCAGTCTATGTCTGTCAAACAAATCTGTATCCTATGACAGTTCATGAAGTCATATAATTAATGGTCCATAATAAAGAGTTGGATGCGTGCTTTAAAAAACTTGACGAGATTTATGCATGGGATTTTTATATTATTACCCAAATAAACAGTTAATGTTTCTAAAAAAGGATAAGTCAGTTTTGCTTTAGTTTACTTTTTTTTGTAACTTAGACATCCTGACCTCTAATTCAATGTTGATAAGTAAAAAAAAACATGGCTGAAAACCCTTTGAAGAGTGTGGGTAGTAATAAATTCAAAATGCATTTTAGCTTAGACAAACTTATTTAATATCGTATTAAGTTTTATATTAGTGCCATAAATCTTCTTGATGTTTAAAATTCTATAAATCTATAATATTTAAACAAAAGATCTTAAATATTTGTTTTACAAGTTTTCATAAGGTCACTTTATTATATTGCAGTGAAAAGACCATTGGAATGAGTTATTAGGACTTATAATCTTCAATATATATATATATATATTGTTTGTTATTATATAAGAATTAGTATTTTGCACGATTCACAGCATTTCTAAAGATTCCAATAAATCTTTCAAAAAAGTACGTCTCTTACGTAGTTTGTGAAGACGCTGCAAGGTATGATTATGTTTTTCTCAGAATTGAGATTAGTATCAAACAAGAGACTATTCCATAGGTAAATCGTTTTATCTGTCGAAGATACAGCCGTTTTGCTCGATCTCGCTTGAATTATAATGAATGTACACCGTGCAATTATTCGTAGTAAAAAAGACATTTTATGGTATTCTGTTTGATCAACTATATGCATCTTTCAAATATATTAATCAAATACAGAGTAAAAAATTGGAAAAGAAATTTTATCGAAATGGTATAAAGTTTTTGTTCTTGTTTGATCTGATAATTTAACTTAATTCATACAGGAAAGAATTTAATGATGTTTTAATATTTACTCTGTGATTTAATTAGTGTAAATATGTATATTACACTATATATACCAATTACAACGAAAAATATTTTCTAACATAATCGAAACATTGGATATATACATATATAATCAGTTTTGATCATATAATAATATGTAACCTGTAAGACGGGAACATTTTTTCCTTTTTTTTTTTTTTTGAAAATGACCTATATCATTAATAATGTATAGTTTGTTTTTTAACATATGTTAGTCAGTTTTAAAAAACGCATATTCGAATAATATTCTATTTTATGAAACGTTTTGCTATAATTTTGTTTTTCTTATGCGTAATAAAAAGTGAAATTTAATTCATTAGTAGAATATAAGAAAAACTATAGATAGATTAACTAAACAAATGCGTAAATATGAAAAAAAAATGATATTTTTTTGAATATTGAAGAATATCATCTGATTAAGGATTAAGATATAATTTAATTCTATAGGTAGTGTTAATTACAAATTCTATTTTCTTTATATTTATTTATGACACTTTTAAATATTTTATTATCAGCTACTTAATCTCTTTTTTTTATCATTATGTGTAAGAGAAACAAAAAAATAAAATGCATATTTCATAAATATTAATATACAGTTAACGACAGATAACAAAATCTATTTATATTGGTAAAATTTTTAACATATATAATTTGTCTTTGTTTTAAAACAAATAATTATACTTCATTAGCAAGATCTAATTCTTTCATAGAAACAATGACTGATACCTAATAATGTTTATTAATTAATCGTATGATGTTTAAAATATAGTTTCAATTGATTTTGGAACAATCTAATATGATCTATAGGTGATCTTTTTAACATAGAAAATTTTCAATGAACTATTTTTACATTAGACCACGCTGATTTATTACATGTTTTAATTTGAATGCAAATAGTTACCGTGAAATGAAACAGATTTGAGTATACGTGAAAGTTCTTCAACTGACAGATTGTTTTTGATTCGAGTCTATGTGAACTATGTAAACTCAAATGAGCTATGAATGCACTGAAAAAAGCTCGTGTGTTTAG